GGGGCCTGGCGGGGGGTGGGGTGAATGCATGGAGTTGCATGCATGCATTTGTGCACGTGTGCGCGAGCGCAGCAAAAAGCGGGGCTCAGAGCCCCATAGACTGGTCTGCGGCGCAGCGGCAGCTACTCAGAGATTTTGCTGTGGTGACTCAGCGTCCCCTTCACCCTTATCCCGCCTTTGACGCGTCGCCCCGCCTCCCCTGCGACCGGCCACCGGCCACCACCCTGCAGCGCTGCGCTGTCTGCCCGCACGCATCCGCCGACGCCCTCTCCCCATCCCCAACGCGTCTCTGCCCGCCTCACCAGCAAGCACACCTGTGGCAAACCCGCAATCCCAGCACTCGTGTGCGTCCACACACACAAAAGCGCATACAACCAATCACACACACGCATACATGGATACACACACACACTCTCACACCACACCCACGTGTGCCCTCCCCCTAGGCCGTCACGCGTTCCCCCGACGCCTACGCGGCCTCGCGCCTCTTCTCAACCCTGGCTGACGCCGGCGCCGACGACGACCTGCTGGGCCTCGACGCGGCCTCCCCCCACCTGGAGGGGTACCTGCGCCAGGAGGGCGGCCTCGCCGGCATGAGCGCCGGCGGGCAGGTGCGGAAGTGCGGCGCGGGTGCTGCGGCGCGCGCATGCGCGCGCGCTCTTGAAGGGTGGGGCTGCCGGCCAAGGCGTGATGGGGGGGGCTCTCGGCGGCTGCACGTCGCGAGGGTGTTGTCGTGCGTCGATGGTGTGGGTGTGAAGGGTTTGAGGGGCTCCGGGGCGTCACCTGTGACCCTGCGTGTGTGCGGCCCGCCAGCGCCCCACCCTAGCTGACCTCGGCCCTCCACTCTGCTGTATGGGAGCACACTGCACTTGCCCAAACACGATGCACGCAAATGCGCACCCCTGCCCCCCTTGCACACACACACACACACACACACACACACACACACATACACGGACACACTCTCACACACATTTGTCTGCACACACTCTCACACACATTTGTCTGCACACACTCTCACACACATATACACATATATCTGCACACACTCTCATTCCCACGCACTCACACATACGCACGCGCGCCCCCGCAGGTGGGCCCCCTGACGCCGCGCCAGGTGCGCCACGTGGAGCTGCTGGCCCGCCTGCACGTGGCGCGCGGCCGCTACTCCGCCGCGGCGCAGGCCTACCGCGCACTGGCGGAGCGCAGGGGCGGAAGGTGGGGGGGCTTTGGGCATGCGTTGCCTATGCAGTCAGGGTTCTAAATCTTGCTATGGGGATCGGAACGGCGCAGAGAGCAGGCCGGAGTGGCTGGTGATACGGCAGCCCGGGGGGTGCGGCAGATGCCTCGCGTCTGGCAGCTGCCATGGGGCCGCGTGACGGCCAGGGCTGGGCGGCAGATAATCAAATATTGTGCCGCCCCGCAGCCGCTTGCGCCTGCACTGTTTGGGTGCTTGAAAGCGCGCTCGACCTTCGGTGCCCCTGGCCCAGCCCCTGTTGGCGCAACAGGCGACGGAGACGCGGGCAGGCCGTCAGGCACCCTACTTTCGGTTTTCGGTCCACCTGGCCGCCGATGCCTATCCCCTTCACTCGGCTCCAACCACAACCCGCGCGCAGGGGCGGCGAGGCGGTGCCGCTGCCATCCCGGCTGGAGGCCTTCCAGAGCGCTCTGCTGCAGGTGACGTGGTGGCGGCGCGCGCGCCCGCGCCCGCACCATCCGCGCCGCTCGCATCCGCGCGCCCGCACGGGGCGCACCGGCCGCAGTGGTGTACGGCGCGGCAGGGTCCGGCCGGAATGAGGGGCTTGCGGCCGTAGGCATGCTGATTCGGGCGGCCCGGTCGTGCCGTTCTGCCCTTGGCCCCCGCCGCTTTTGGCCTGAACCCCTCCAAAATGAATTTCAGGGTGTTTATCACAGCCTTCTGCCTGCGGTTCACTGACATCCGGTCACTTGCATACCTACACACACACACACACACACACACTCTCTCTCTCTCTTTCTCTCTCTCTCTCTCTCTCTCTCTCTCTCTCTCTCTCTCTCTCCCTCTCTCACACACACAGACACATTGTCACACACTCTGCGACACACACACTCTCTCTCATCACATCGCCACACACCCCTGCACCCGCGCCAGGCGCGCTCTGTGGGTGATGACGGCCTGGTGGAGGGCCTCAGGGCCAGCTGCCGCGTGATGGAGATACAGATCACGACACACGCGCGCATGGGGCGCCTGCTGGCCGCGGCCACGCGCGGCGCGCAGAGGAACGGCGGCGGCGGCGGCGGCGGAGGCGGCGCAGCGGAGGCGCCCGAAGCGCGGGAGCGGGTGAGGCTGCCTCTTACCACCCACCCCCCTCGCCCCTGGCCGCACCTGCACGCCTCCGGTCACCCGCTTCCCCACCTTGTTTCTGTTCCCAGAATTTTCCGGCCAAATATCTCTCGGTCCCTTGGCCCCTCCGGCACTGACC